ATATATGTACCTCCGCTTCTGCTTTCCATTCTTCATTAGTCATGTTAAAAGAATTCGTTACGGGATTATAAATATTTCCTGTTTTGTTTTTAAGTTTTAACCACACTGCATACTTTGCTTTTAAATAGTCGTATCGATTTTTCATTTGTTTTTTGTCGATAATAAAATTATGATATGTTTTCAATTTCTCCGCGACCACAACCCATGAGCTTGCTTTTAGGCCACTACCCTCCCGGCCATTGCGTGTTAATTCTTGTATACAGGCTTCCAAAAAAGTTTTGTCCACCAATTCCGACTTCCAACTAACCATAATTCTTTTATCCGTCATGTCTATTGTAAAAAGGAAAACCAAATAGCTAATCATCCACATAACACAAATTTACAAATAAATCAAGCATAAATGTTATTTCATCACATTTTTAACAGCATATAACAATCTTTTAATAACCAAAACACATTATGAATTGATTTTATAAGCATACAACAATCTTTAACAATCTTTTATAAACAAAAACACATAAATGTGAGTTCATCATATTTTCAATAGCATATAACAATTTGATTTCATGTCAACAACATATAAGTATCTGATTTTATGTCAAAAACACATTATGAAATTAGATTTCATAAACAAAAACACATAACAAATTGATTTTATGCACAAAAACACATAAATGTGAGTTCATCATATTTTCAACAGCATATAACAATATGATTTTATGTCAACATCATATAACAATCTGATTTTATGTCAAAAACACATTATGAAATCAGATTTCATAAACAAAAACACATAACAAATTCATTTTATGCTAACTCTTCAATCTAATTGAATCCAAGAACAATGAAAGAAGTGATTTCAAACTTTGATTTCAGAATGAAATCAGTAATTTCACAACAAACATGAAGGGTTTTTCTGATTTCAGGAAAAGAAAAGCAAAAAAAAAAAAAAAAAAAATCGCAGGAACATACCTGTCAGTGGCGCTGTGTGGTTGTCGTCGGCTATGTCTTCGCCGGAGAAGATGGCGCAGACAGCAGGAAGCAGTCGAGTCGATGGCGCAGGAGCAGCAGTCGATGGGATGGGATACGAAGGCTGAAGGCGATAAAAGGATAAGGGGCAAGGGCAAATAACGCGTATCTTATTTCCCAGTCAGGAGGTATTTTTCTAATGACCGAGTCAGTCAAAATTGGAAGGATTAGGCTGACCGAATCAGCTCTAATATGTCAATAACAAACAACTGACTGCTGACCGGGTCAGCAGTCAGCACTGATTGCACCGGGTAACCTCAAATCAAACAGGGCCTTGTTAGGGTAATATATTTCTCATTTTGTACACATTTAGTCATTAATATTTTTATACACATTTAGTCCTTACTATTTTTTTTGTTTCAAAATAAGTCTTTTTTTTTTTTTTTTGGTTTTTGTACCAATTCAGTACTTATGAATGATTTATTTAGAGTTTTTCTCACGACATTTAACATGAGACTATCATTGATGACAGTGACGGTTCTTTTTGGGTGACCGCAATGGCACCGACAACCCCTGCTTTTTCTGTACGCAGTGTAAATTTTTCGATATTTTTTTTCTTTTTTCTACTTACCGACAACACCTACTACGAACCGGCAACACCTACTACCAAATCCTGCGTCCATCCTTGATTGATGAGGTGTTTGGGGTTGTTGATGCTTATGTCCATTGCAACCTCGACTGCTTGGTTGCATATGTCTTGTGGTTTGGCTTAGGTTTTGTATTCCGAACGTCGTAACTTCTTCATACATTATCTGATTTTAACGATCTTTATATCTACGTGTTCGTTTTTTAAGTCTGCTATAACTTTCGTTAAGATTACTCCCGTTAAAAACGTATGGATATAAATATCGTAATTAAAAAATATATTAATTTCTAACATGAGTAATCTAAACGAAAGTTGTAGTAGACTAAAATACAAACGCATATATATATATATATATATATATATATATATATATATATATATATATATATATATATATATATATATAAATATCGTTAAAATCCGAGATAGTATGAAAAAGTTATAATGTTCAAAACGCATGACATAAGCAACAAAGTAGTCGAGATCGCAATTGACATAAGCACCGAAAGCCTAAAATACCTCGTTAATGATTGTTCCATGTAAGATGTTGTGAGAAAAACTTAAAGAAAACATTCATAAGTATTGAATTAGCACAAAAACAAAAAAATTATTTTGCAACAAAAAAAATTAAGGACTAAATATGTACAAAATAAGAAATATATTACCCTATTAATACATTTTATCGGTTAACCAGAAATAACTAGTCATAAGGATTGAATATGTACAGTTTAACAAGTTGAAGGGATAAATGTGAATAAAAAATAAACTCAATGACCAAATGTGTACAAATCGAATTATATATATCCTTTTAAGTTATTATCCATTTCTTTTATAATGTTTTGTAAGCCTCTATTTTTGTTTTTTTTTTTTTTGTCGATGTAGGATAAGCCTCAAGAACAATTTAAGGACTCCTTTTCTACATTAAACGAAAGCTTTTTTTTTTTTTTTTTTTTTGTTTACTTTTTTTCATTATGTTAATAACAAATTTTTGTGAGAAATAAATTATTAGAATTAGTATTTTGGAAGGTGTTGTTTCAATTTAAAACTTTAAAATTAATGTTATTATATATATATATATATATATATATATATATATATATATATATATATATATATATATATATATATATATATATATATATATGACGGTGTACGGTTTATCCGGTTTTGAGGACCAGTCTGACTGATCGAACCAATTGAACCATCAACCCGGTAAGACGGCCGGTTCGATGTCCAATCCGGTTTTCAAAACATTGGTTTTAATTGTAATATTGTAAGCATGCTTGGATTTTTGTTGGGTTAAAACCCATGTAGCTCAGAAGTCTTTTCGACTTCCATGTTTTTTTTAGATATGTTATGTACTCAGGTACAGAGTAACGTTACATACAAGACTAAGTGAAGTCTTTAGATGGGTTGATCCCTTATCTTTTACTATGGTTTTTGATATTAGTTTTGTAACACCAAATAATTGTAAACTTTGAGAAAGAAATGAAAGGTTTTTGTAAAACCATATTTACTACGATCGATTTTCACAGTAATCGGCTACTTATACAACCATGGTAAATTTTGAAATGATAAAAGTATGGTTGCTATAGGGTAATTGATAAGTTCAAGTCCTTGTTAGCCATTCAAGAATTTAGGAAAAAAAATCTAATGTTTGCTATTTTGACACACATCCTATGGTAGCATGTATTGCTACTATTAGATTGTTGATCGTTTCAATGGACAGTGAAAATATGATTATTCATCAAATGGATATTATAAAAATCTTTTTAAATGCCGATCTTGATGAAGAAGTTTACATGAAACAACTACAAGGTTTTGTTATATCGATAATGAGGATAAGGTAACTTGTCAAATCTTGGTATGGGCTGAAACAAGCACCAAAAAAATGGTATCAAACGTTTGACGATGTTATTTTGTCTAATGATTTTAATTTAAACCAATATGAATAATATGTTTATAGTAGATTTGATGATGCTACTAGTGTTGGAGTGATCATATACCTATATATAGATGCTATGTTGATTTTTGGAACTAAACAAAATCAAGTAGATGAAACTAAGAAATTGTTGTCGTATAAGTTTTACATTAAAGAGACATGAGAGAGGATGATGTAATCCTTGGAATAAAGATTAAACGTGTAAACACAGGTATCGTAATGACACAAGCTCATTATGTTGAGAAAATTTTCAAAAAGTTCAATTTTAGTGATTGTTTTCCCATGGGCACTCCTATGGACCCTAATGTGTAACTGATGCCAAATTCGGGTATTCCCATTTCACAAATTGAGTACTTTAAGGCCATTGGTAGCTTGATGTTAAAGTCCATATAAATTTGTAATCATGATATACCCAAATCCTTTCTAATATGACATTCAGAGTTCAATTCGATATGGAAGACTCATGCTTATAATGTGAAACTTATGCGACTGTGAAGTGTAGTCATACTTTAAGAGGTTGCAGACTTGGCATCATTATAATAATGAGAGGATTAGTTTATACAAATTTTATAACTGTCTCATGTCGTATTTTGTAAGACAAGTTTATAAATTTGTATCTATTTTATCTTTAGGTATTCAAACGGGTCTTAAAACACCCTCATTCTTAAATATTTGAAATGTGTAAGACTCTAAAATGAAAATTCAATCTATTCGAGGTTTATTCAGATTATTTACACTAACATAGGAGATGATTGTTCAGGTTGTTAAGTGTAATTGGAATTAATACAAGTGTAAAATGAGATATTAATTGTATTATAATACAAGTTAGAAGGTGTGAAGTGCACATTTTATATAAGATTAACCTGATTCCATAACAATAAATAACGAGGGTTAAAGGGCAACGCCCCCTTACTAGGTCCTAGATAGCAAGGTCCATATCCTGATGGTGGTCCTGCTCACTTGTCAACGTACAAGGTACAATGGGCGGCACCTTAAACTTTTTTGTTATTTTGAATTTAATTGTATCGGAAAAACAAGATTTAATGGGCATTTTATGGTAAATTTATGGTTAGTCACTTTTAAAAACCATGAATACCCATTTCATATCTACAATTAACCAACTTTTTTTTTTTTTTTTAGTTTAATGCACGGCCTTTCCAAAGAAAGGCAAAGAACGATTTCTGGTGAATCAGGTTTTGGCTTTTATTTATGTCTATTTGTATATATACCGGCTCCCCCAAACATTTTTGCAGTTTTTTTTTTTGCAGATAAACAGACGCTATGTAATAAAACTTTGGATCAACCAAATAAACTTGGAGCTTAAATATGGTTGGATAGGTGAATTATGAGGTCAAATGTTTGGGGTTTGGCTGACATGAATCTGACCACTCAACCGTCGATCTCGTGATGACATCCGATTGGCCCATTATTCGGCGGCCGTGGGATCACTGACCTTATCCACTCTTCCCTACGCTTCCACCTTTAATCTTTTTCCTTTAAAATAATATTTAATACTACTTGCCACCATTATGGGCAATGCATGCATCAAAATATAATATATATTCTCCTCGATGCTTGTGTCCAAAGATCATATAACACCCCCATTCTTTCCGAATTAGGAAACTTTTACTGCATCTCCATCTCCCTCAACCTCCATGGCAGGCCCCAACGACGAACGCTTGGATTTTGGGAAGATGGGTTACGGGTATTTAATCATACTTTATTCATGTATTTTTGTAATCTGCTGTGTAAGTATAGTCTGTAAGTTTTCATGAATTTGCCATTTGTGTTAGATGCAAGCATTATCGAAGAAGATGTATGATTCGAGCTCCTTGTTGTAACGAGATATTCGACTGTCGTCATTGTCACAACGAGGCTACGGTACGATTACTCGATTACTTCGTTTTTTCATGCGATTTCTGTTGTATTCTTCGATTTAAGTGTTTAGATCTCACGAATGTTTGTTAGGGTTTCGAAGAAGAGGAACTTTAGGGTTTATAGTAGCTTGTTGCAGATCTAGTCGTATGGATTTGAATCGATTCAATCTCCGTTCTGATTGTATTCTGATTTTCTCTGTTTATCCCTCAGAATATGTTGAAAAATCCCTACGATCGCCATGAACTTATTCGATCCGATGTGAAACAAGTACGCTCCTTTCTCCTTCATCATCAGAGTTGCGAATATAATAAACCCTACAATCGACTGAAAATTTTCATGTTTGTTGCAGGTGATTTGTTCAGTTTGCGACACAGAGCAACCTGTATGTTCCATTGATTCGATCTACAAAACTACAACAATTCCTTTCTTTAATCACTGAATCGTCTCTTTGATTTCCAGGTTGCTCGTTCCTGCACAAATTGTGGCGTCAATATGGGGGAATACTTTTGTGAATTGTGCAAATTCTACGATGATGATGTATGAAATTCCAAACGATTTGTATATCTATGTTTTCGTTTCACTTTTGCTAATCATCATCATATTGCAGATTGACAAGGGTTTGTTCCACTGTGACGATTGTGGCATCTGCAGGTTAGTTATGATTGTATTTCTTCTTTTTTGTTCATTCAGTTGTTCATTGTTCCATGAGTGATTTGATTTATATAGTTCTTTTCGTGTTCAGAGTTGGTGGACGTGAGAACTTCTTCCATTGCAAAAAATGTGGTATGCCATAGAGGGGTGATTTTGTAATTTGAATCTTGCTCAATGTTAACGGACCGGACTCACGGCGTTTTTGAGTCGAACCGGATTTTGTCAACCAGTTTGGACCGGATTTGGACTTACCTCGAGTCTTTCTGCTTCAACTACATTTTTTTTTTCCAATCAAATCAACAACCCGAAAATATAACACAGTTATAACAATTAACAAAAAGTCAAAAACATTTTGTGGACTTTAAATATTTGTAGGTATCACCAATTTTCATTTATGTTATTTTTATTATTCTTTTTATAAATCTTTGAGATTAAATTAATATAACTACACATTGTATATTTATAGTACAAAATAAATATATGTTTGGTCACGTAACAACTAATTTATTTTTCAAAACTTTTAGTTTGTTATGTTTGACAAACAAAAAAATAGTTTCTAAACAGACTTTAAAAACAAGTTATCCCAACTAACGTTTTGACAAGCTTACTTTTTTGAAAAAAAATTCTTTTAAGTATATTCTTTAAAAAAAAAATCAATCTTCAACCGTTCTTTTTATATCATTTTATATTTTTCGGTTAATTTATTGGTCGGTTTTATCAAACTTTATTTTTTTATCAGCTTATAGTTTTTCAAGAATTGGTTGGCTTTTAGCTAGTAAATAATAATAGCTTTTATAATTTAAGTTAAATAGATATCTATATATTTATTAATATTTGATCTTATATTTGGAAAACTTAATACAACAATGATAAATATAAACAAATTCATATAATCACATTTATATGTATTCTTTAGTTGCAAAGTTATTTGTTTTTGATATTTCATGACCATTGCTTTCCTAGGAACTTGCTATTCTATTGGTTTACGTGATAACCATTTATGTGTCGAAAATTCTATGCGACATCATTGTCCCATATGTTATGAGGTTTGTTTCTTTTTCTCTTTCTTTTACCTTGGGTTAAATTTTGCATAATTTAATAATTAATTGCTATGACTACATTCACAGTATTTATTCGACTCGATGAAAGACACTGCAGTTATGAAATGTGGACACACAATGCATCGTGATTGTTACAACGAGATGATAAAACGAGATAAGTAAGTATTTTTGTGACTATTAATTATAGAATAAACTTTTTGTTATTAACTTTTTTGAATTTTAAAACAGATTCTGCTGTCCGATATGCGCCAAATCGATTATGGACATGTCCGCAACATGGAAGATGATCGATGAAGAGGTTGGTCTATCAAATTGATTCTCATGAGTTTTCATTATTTGGGAGTAAATTACAAGTTTGGTCCCTATATTATACAAACTTTTGCGATTTTGATCCAAAAAAATTTTGTTGCAAATTTGTCTTGTTGTTTCATTTTGTTACCGATTTGGTCTATAACCAATGCAAATTGATCATTTTTCCCATTAATGTAATAACAATATATAAGTACTAAATGGTTAAAGTTAATAAAAAACTAGATAAGGGGCCAAATAGACATTGTTTCAAATATAATCAATTCTTCAAAGTCTTCTTACTCTTTTTCTTATTTGATCATATTTGACATTTATACATTCATTTCGCAGATCGAAGCTACTCTAATGCCTGATGATTACAGACACAAGAAGGTACTATCACATCCTTTGTGACTTTGCACTACTTTTGTTACAACAAATGAGCCAACTTTTTAGGGTTATTTTCGATGATAATGATTACGAGGGCATTCACGTCTTTTTGCATACGATGTGAAACTAATAAGGATCGAATTTTTCAGGTTTGGATACTATGTAACGACTGCAATGACACTACAGAAGTTTTCTTTCACATAATTGGACAGAAATGCCGCCATTGCAGATCGTATAATACACGGACGATCGCGCCCCCTGTTTTACCACAAGAATGACCGAAACGCCCCTTGTTTGTCTCGTATTATAAAATAGGTTGATTTATATACCTCTATATATTCTATATTCGCGAAAAAAAAAAAAAATATAATTTAAAATTGCTGGATAGATGGTTTTGGAGTGCAAGAGAAAGCACTGTTTTCAGCCAATTCTTCCTCCACCTGTGTGGATTGAAGTAGCCCTTGCTAAGCAACTTGGGTTGTATAATAGATTAATAGTAAACATGTTCGCTTTTGTTTGTTTTTTCTTTATAATGTTAACTTTTTTTAAGTCGGATCTATATTATGAATATGAAAATCTCAAGGAACTTTATAAAAAACAAATGATTTTGGTGTTCTGTTTTTAATTTTCACTAGCATTACTAAAGTCAAAATGAGTGGTTTTGTATACTTTTAAATATGTTTAATGATTTCACATGAGCAAATCCATTTTTCCTATTCTAGTATTTTTATCTTTTTTCCATTGAAAAAAAAAAAGGTGAAATTACATATCATAGCAAATAGAACCCGTTCTACCAAAGGGGTTACAAATTTTGTGCTTTTAAAACTTGAAGTTCAAATTACTAATCATTAACCTGAATATATACATTAAATTCAGGCGAATCGATGCCATTTATTTACACTATTCAACATACATATCAACAATTATACACACAATGCATTATATATTGTTATATATATACACACACATGACACATAAAAACCTTCCTCTAGCTTGATGTTTGGCATGACCAAGGTGAGGTAACCGGTTTAGCAGCCGAAATCTGAACACGTATGACCTCATGAATAGCACCCCGATAAAGCACATCAAGAACTTGTTGTTCTTTCATCATTGCAAGATCTCTTAAAGAAGCCCTTCGTGAAATCGACTCATCACGAAGCCTAAATCCATACAACCATCTCCCAAGCTTCCACCATTGAACACATATTTGTCGATCACAAATCTTTGAGCTATTTAAAGCTTCCATCACATCATCCGCCTACAAATCGTATCATCAACCTCATTTATTCAACATATTTCCATAATTTCGTTAAAATATAATAACATAAATTTGGTGATGTTTCTGTAAAGGGATTGGATATTGTAAGCTTACTGGAACTCCTAGCCATGCAATAGAGTAGTGCAAACCAGCCAAATTGAGCAAAACATGAAGATTTTCTTTGAAAAAGAACAACACCACATCTCTGAACCCAAATTGCATTGAATTCATGTTTTGCATTGCAACCAAATAATGATTAACCTCAACGGATTCTGATGAAATGCATTGGTCCAAAAAGGCAATAACAGCATCGGCTTTACTAGCCATTTCATGATGTTTATTCACATAAAACCCCCTCCATCCCTACACTCACACATAAAAACTCTTCACGTTAATGAATACAATTTGCTTAATGTAGCATCATACATTTCTTTCATTTGCAAATACGAGTTTGCATGTTAAGAAGTGATTAAGTTACCAATTTCTTAAAAGACTTTTGGTTTAATTGTTACTGTAGAAGAGCATAATCAACCCTCAATAAACCATTCAAGTATATTTCAAGTCAGACAAGCGACTATCTATGGAAATGAAAATATAAGGATAGACCTTCAAATTGGAGTCCAAATGCTGTTGTTGAAGTTGATGGGGATTGAATTCAGGAACAGAAGAAGATTGTTCTTTATCGAAACCGAGGGCTGGCCATCGGTCTCTGCATAGACCCGCCCATATATGATCGGACCCGCAAAGCTCCCGCCAAAACCGAGAGCAACTACCCAACGAACACAAATCCAATTCCTTCAGAACCCAAATTGAATTCATAGAAATTTCCCAAAAATTAGAACGCAATTTTTAATTCGTAATTTCTCAAAGATTAAAAAATCGGACAAATAGGGCTACGAAAGGAAGGAGATTAGCGAAAGAAATCAACAGACCTGAAGCAAGGAAGCGATTTTGAAGGCGATATCGCTTGGAACCCAGTTCTGTATGGATCGATTGTTCATATCTTTTGTTAGTGATTTTGGTTTCTTTAGGGTAGATTGTTGAGAGGAAGAATCAAAAGAAATAACATTTGGGAGTGGGGATGATCATGTGCGATGCCGTCATCACATAAATTTCTGCTGCGATTGCGTGGAGGTGTGTAAAGCAAGAGAAATGCACGTAGCAAGTTAATCTATCCCCCTTTTATTTTCGTATGAAAAATGTGCAAATGTCAACCATTTAACGTATTTAGTAATCAAATTTGATTCTATAAGCCTTTTGGGCAAAATCCATAAAAGATACAAGTTAAAATAAAATTTTGATTTTGACTCTATGGTAATTTTTTTTTACAATTAAATTATTAAAATCAAGAATTTATCAAGGAAAATCTAAGAGATGGAGATTGGAACACAAACTGCAACGAGATTATGACACTGTATGTATAGACGCTAATTCGTTATGTTGTTTTACATCAAAAGTTTGCCCACAAATGGTATCCAACCCTCCAACAAGTCCTAATTACTATGTTATAATAGAAACAAATTGCATAAAAGATACTAAGTTTTCAGAAAAGTTTGATTTTGACACTGTATTTTTTTTTTTTTTCAATAAATCACTATATTTTATTTTATTTTTCAATTTTGACACCCAGAAAATGATGTCAGTGCCACATCATCAAAGACTGACACATCACTATGCAACATCAGTTGGAAAATGTAGTGTTAAAATAACTTTTTTTTTTAAACTTAGTGACTTAATTGTAAAAAAATAATGTTGACCTGATAAAGACAATCTTCCTAGTACACAACTAAGGAATACATCAAAGAAATGAAGAAGGAAACACACACTTGTGTATTCTGATTAACTTGAAAGAAAACAGATTACAAGAGGAAGCCATAAAAGGAAAAAACTGAAAAAAGAAACTGCTACTACACTACCACTATCTAGAAAACAGGAAACTACAATTTGACAACTGCCCACTATCTAGACTAATTCAACAAGGAGAAAATACTAGACAAATTAAAATAAACATAAACTAAAAAAATAATGATAGTGACAAGCTTGTGAGCTGCTTACTTGAACCTAGATGTTGCTCATTTAATATCCCCTCTCAACATCAACTTCTACCATACTCACCATGTTGTTAAATTCAATAAACTTTTCACTTGCTAGACTCTTGGTTAGGATATCTGCAACCTGCTTAGTTGTCTTCACATATTGCAAGTCTATTTCGCCCATTAAGACCTTCTCTCTAATGAAGTGGTAGTGAACTTCACTATGCTTGGTGCGAGCATGAAAGGTAGGATTCTCAGCTAGTTTGATGGAGGACATATTGTCACGTAAAAGTGGAATGCTGTAATTGTGATATCCCCATTTTCATGACCAGAAAAGACCGATTTTGTTTATGCTTTGTTTAAAAATCAGAGTAACATTTTAAATAAAAGTGTTGCGGAATTTGTACCAAAAGAAAATATAATAAAGATTTATCAAAAGCATTTCCATAGAAATGTATTTCATTAAAAAGACTCGGGATGTTATGTTCGATACAGATCATAAGCATAAACGATACAACATAGGCCTTACTACATTATTCCGTATTTACATGCTTAAAATCCTTTAATCTCTTATCCCAAGACATCACATCTATGATCATGCGCCACTACCTGTAATACAAGAAACTGAGTGGGTCAGACTTGGGAGCCTGGTGAGCACATGGGGTTTTCAACCCACAATAAATAAGTTTATTAACTTTATCAAACCAAACAAACGCGATTACCCGTTCCCGTTATCCTCACTTTATGTCCCTAAAACATCTAATATAAAGGACTTAGTCTAAGGACTTTCATCGGGATGGACACTACTACTAAGGGGATTCCTCAGCAATAAATGTCCTTAAGGTAACCATGTGGGGGTGGAGTACACCTGGTGAGCACACCGTTCAAATAAACACACAGTTCCAATAAACACCTACAGGTTGCGAGCATGCTAGTGTTCCACTGGACTGTCTAGAATAGTCCGTGGCCATCATTTATACTCTGCTAGATGACTGGATCATCAATAATATCTATAACGAGGCCTCTCATTATTTTATTTTGTCACACAACAACTATTACATCTACCCATGTTTTACCGAACACATTTTGTAGATATAAAATACATATATAGTTTAAATCATTTAAAACATGTATAAAATTGTTCATCCAACATAGATAGCAAGTATACAGATAATATGCACACACAACATGTAATTTACATAAAATACTTCATATCTATGTGTAAGCTGAAAGTAACTATGCACTCACCTGAAAGGTGGTGACTTAGCACTCGAACAACGCTTCGATACTTTCAAACAATTTTCCTTCGATAAAACCTAGTATCAATACCACTAGGGTTTAGTCTAACAATAACCACGACAAATTAATAGTCGGACTATTATTACTATTATATAAGCGTTAAATAACACTCGATATAACTCGTAATAATAGCCTAAATAATTATTTTAACGACCTAATAACATTACTATAATTATTTGAAAGCTATATTAAAAATTGCGTAAGTGTAGCTCACTTACAGTGGATTTTAAAGAAAACCGGGCTTTTCTCGGAGCAGCGTTTCCGAAACCGAAAAACCCTTTTTCTCAGGACTCCGGGAGCCTCGGGGCTTCCTTAGGGTGCTAGGGGATCACCTAGGCTTAGGGGAGGGTCAAAACCCTTAAAGAGAGAAAGTAATTTAGAGAGAGAAAGAGAATGGTGTGAAAAATCCGGAGACCCTCGCAGGTATTTATAGGGGGCGAAGCCTCTCGGAACGCTGGGTGTACCGAGGGTACGCTGGGCGTACGCCTCAGATAAGGATGCCATCCGAAGCCAGCTGTCTCGCACCATCGGATGGATCAGACCGGAGCTACGCAAGGCGTAATGTAACACTGTAAAAATTTGAACAATTTTTCACTTTGTAACCCATAAAATATCATTTGAAATCATAAATAAAACTTTGTATCAACATTGTATTAGTACAAAACCCAAGATCTATATATATATATATATATATATATATATATATATATATATATATATATATATAAACTCCGGTATGTGTGTGTACGAATCATGTTGGCGCCTTCCTGCGATCATCACTGGTACCTGAAACACATAACACATAACACTGTAAGCATAAATGCTTAGTGAGTTCCCCAAAATACCACTCTAATACATAATAGCCACTCAAGGCTGTAACTCTGTTGACCCTCAGGTCTATGTGTCTCAGTGGGGCCCTCCAGCCCCAACTCTCAATGGGCCCTCTTGCCCTAACTCTATGGACCCGAAGGTCCTAACTCTGAATCATACATAGCAC